AGGAGGCAGGACAGTCAGAGTCTGAGAAGAAAACCGTGATTATGGTGACAGAGAGAGAAGTGACACAGCAGCAGAAACAGAGGCCAGAGGGAGAGAGAGTTAAAGATGCTAGGCTGCTGGCTTTGGCAATGGAGGACGAGGCCATGAGCCAAGGATACAGGCAGCTTGTAGAATCAGGAAAAGACGAATTCTCTTCTGGAGCTTCCCCAAGGGACTCAACCCTTCAGACTCGGTTTGAATTTCTGATCACCAGAACTGTAAGATAATGTGTGTTGTTTGAAGCCAATAAATTTGTGGTAATCTCTCACAATAGGTCACTAGAAGGGGAATGACCGATCCTTAGTGGGATGCTGGGGAGGCTTTGCAGGAGGGGTTCATTTAAACTGGGCCTTAAGGCAGGAAACGAAGGTAAAAAGGAGTAAAGGGAATTCCCAAGAGTGGTAAAATATGTCATTAGTGTGGGTAAACAAGAAGGGAAGGGATTCTCCGATCCACAGGAGATCAATCACAGTTTGCCTGGATCTGTCCCTGTTTATGCCCATTGTCCCAGTATAATTTTTTTTTCTTTTGATTCGGAGTTTCACTCTTGTTGCCCAGGCTGGAGTGCAATGGCGTGACCTCGGCTCACCGCAACCTCCGCCTCCCGGGTTCAAACGATCCGCGTGCCTTAGCCTCCCGAGTAACTGGGATTACAGGCATGCACAACCATGACCGGTTAATTTTGTGTTTTTAGTAGAGACAGGGTTTCTCCATGTTGGTCACTTTGGTCTCCAACTCCCGACCTCAGGGGATCCGTCCGCTTCGGCCTCTCAAAGTGCTGAGATTACAAGGCTTGAGCCACTGTGCACAGTCTCTCCTAGATTTTCAATCTGCAATTACAAAACTGTGGCACGCCACTTCATGCTTCTCGCCACCAACCCAACCACCCAGCCCCTGGCCTGGTCAGGAGGAGGAGGGTCCCCGCATGCCACCAGCAAGCTCGCGCGGGCCAAGAGCCGAGACTCAGAAAGAGTGAGACCGGTGCGTGCCGGCCGGGCTTCGGGGCTTTACGGAAACTGGGCGGTGCGGCGGCCCCGCCCTCGTGCGCAGGCGCAGAACCGTTGTGGCCGGAGCGGTTGCGGACTGAGCGGTTTCAAGCCGGCGTCCGGGAGCGGCAGTACTGGGCTACTGCGGGGGCGGCTCGACCCAGCCTGAGGCCTCGGCGTCCGCCTCCCGCGGTGCGCTGGGTAAGTCGGCGGCCCTCCCGAGACGCGGGAGGGCGACCGAAATAAACGAAAATAGACATTTTCCCGAAGGCGAAATAGACATCCTCCCTCGGCGCCGGGGCTTGGAGGCGGGCGGCGGTGGGCGCGAGGTAACGTCCCCGGGGAAACTGAGACCCCAGCTGGTCCGGGCCGGGGCGGAGATGAACGCAGGAGGGCGCCGGGCCCCTGGGCTCTTCGTACCAAGCCCGACCGAGCCGCCCCTACGCACCCCGAGCTGCGAACCCGGCCTCTCATAATAGAGACTGGGCATTATCCCAACGGGGTCTCCCGAGGACCTTGTGCCCGCGCGGCTTCCTTGGACTGGCTTTGGACGACGCTTTCGCCTTCCTGCTGCCTAGGATCCGCCGACATGAATCCCATCGTAGTGGTCCACGGCGGCGGAGCCGGTCCGATCTCCAAGGATCGGAAGGAGCGAATGCACAAGGGCATCGTCAGAGCCGCCACCGTGGGCTACGGCATCCTCCGGGAGGGCGGGAGCGCCGTGGATGCCGTGGAGGGAGCTGTGGTCGCCCTGGAAGACGATCCCGAGTTCAACGCAGGTAAATGCGCCTTTCAGCTAGTAAATAATGTGAGTCGGTCAAGCTCCTTCTTCAGAATAAATATAACCTACGTAAAGCGTTAGGGAATCTAATGAGCCTTGGGGTGAAACTCTGTAAAAAAGAAACAATATTTAATTTTTCTACCTGTGATGAAAAGAGTCAAACGCTAAAATATTTGGAGAGATTTATACTGAGCCAAATATGAGTGACCAATGGTCTGTGATACAGCTCTTGGGAAACCCCGAGAACATGTGCTTTTAGAGACATAAGATGTCAATCAATACATACTAGAGGTACATTGGTTCCATCTGGAGAGGCGAGACTACTGGGGGAGAGGGAGTGGCTTCCAGGTCATAGGTAAGATTCAAAGATTTTCTTATGAACAGTGGTTTAAAGTTTTATCTAAAGACCTGGAATCCACAGAAGGGAATGTCTGGATTATATAAGGACTTGAGACTGCAGATGGAAGTAATAGAAGGCGGTTTAGCATGGTGGCTCGCTCCTGTAATCCCAGCA